GCGGATCGCCTCTCTGTCCCCGAGGGCCAGCCGGAAGGCTCCTAGTTCTCGCCCGACTCCCGCTCTAGCTGAACCCCTGGGAAGAGCGTCCCCCTCGCAGGGCCTCAGCTTCCATTCTGTGAAACGGGGGATTGCACTGGATCAGTGGTTCTCAATAGGGGGAGGTTTTGGGTTTTACTTCTTATTTTTTCCTCCAAAAGAATATCAGACAGTGCCTGGAGACCTTTTCAGTGTCATACTAGGGAGGGTGCTGCTGGCACCGACTGGGTAGACCCCAGAGATGCAGCCCAGTGCACAGGACGGGCCCTTACAACAAAGAACAAAGAATTATCTGACCAAAACCTCAGCAGTGCCAAGGCAGAGACATCCACTCTGAATGGTCTCTGATGGCTTCCCCAGATCTGACCTACATTCGAGTCTGTGAGTTTGGGCCCAGCGTCTCCTCACCTCCCGTAAGAGAAGCAAGGCTCCCGTGGCAGACCAGACTGTGGCTGTGGCCCTCTCAGCTATGAGGGGGAGAGGAGAAATAAACAATGGGTCAAAGGCAGGAAACAGTCTCCAGTCCTCAGCGGGAGGCCCGGCAGTAAAAGGCAGATGTGGACTGAGGCCTCCCTTCCTCATGTGAACGAACAGGGCCCCCTCCTGGTGCGTGTCCGCATGGCAAGCAATGGGCAGATGGGCAGAAAACCACACAACATTTGAATAAGAACATGGTGTCGGTGGGCTATTTCCCTAATGACCACCTTATGACTTCTCAGGGTAAAAGAGGAAATACTAGTCAATCACAGCAGAATTTCCTTGAAAAATATGGCAGACTTATAAACAGCTACTTAAGAAATGCTGACTCATTTTAGATTAGGCTCAAAATATGGAAGAGCCTGCCACAACCAGACCCTTTGTGGACGCTTGATAAGTGACAGGTGCAGCACAACCATGCAGAGTGGGGAGGAGAGGTCTTTTCAATTAGCGGTGCTGGGCCACCTTGCAAAAAAATGAGATTGGATTCCTACTTCCCAGGAAACACAAGTATCCACTTCAGATACATAACACACTTAAAGGCCAAACCCTAAAACATTCAGAAGATAACTTAACTTCATGACTTTAAATAAGTCAAAAGGCACCAGCCATACAGGAAAAAATAAATAAATAAAATACACCACACCTTAGGAACTTCTGTTCCTCAAAAGACAAGCTGTAGGAATATATTTGCAATACGTATATCCACAATATATAAACAGCAGCCACAAATCAATAAAAAAAGGTAACTCAGTGAGAAATAGATGAAAATGTTGAACAGCATTTCACAAAGAGGCGGTCCAAATGGCAATACCATATGGAGAGACTCGGCCTTATTGGTCATCAGGGAAGTAAAAACCATAATGAGATATCATGACACATCTACCAGAATGCCTATGCTTGTTGAAAAGAGAGAAATAAAGTGTTCATGAGGATGCAAAGAATTAAGACTCCAATACCTCACTGAATGGGAAAATAAATGGGTACAACCATTTTGTAAAACTGCTTGGCAGTCTCTACTGAAGCTAAATATGTGTCTACACATTGACTCAGCCATGTGTCTACACATTGTACTGCCATGTATTTACCTGATACAAATGAGAGCGTATATTCACCAAAAAAAATGTACAAGGATATTCATACATCTCCTTTCATAACAGTACCAAACTGTAAATATTCAAGTGCCCATCCAAAGTAAAATGAACAATTCAATTAATCTACGCAGTGAGAATACTGCATATTCTGTATCTTACTGGATGTACAGTGGACCTTAATTAAAAGCACCAAGAAAACAAACACCCCACTCCATAGGTGAATGAGGTTCTGTACTAATATTGTACCCTGAATATTAAGAAAATTTACAAGCACCTAAGTTAAAGAAGAAAATACTTTGTCTAAGTAATCACTTTCCTTTTAAAATATATTTTATTGATTTTTTTTTTTTTTTACAGAGAGGAAGGGAGAGGGATAGAGAGGTAGAAACATAGATGGGAGAGAAACCCTGATCAGCTGCTTCCTGCACACCTCCCATTGGAGATCTGCCTGCAACCAAGGTTCATGCCCCTGACTGGAATCAAACCTGGGACCCGTTAGTTCGCAGGCCGATGCTCTATCCACTGAACCAAAACGGTCAGGGCTAAGTAATCATTTTTCAATTTATATTCCCTCTACCTAAAAAGCAATGAGACACTAATAACCTGTTAAAAACAAAAAGGCAAGCCACAGAATAAGAGAAGGTACTATACACCAATACGGAGCCCACACCAGAAAAAACTGCAAGTCTGTTAGAAAAACACAGATGACACCAAAGAAAAATGGGCAAGACTTCTTACTTTGTACTTTTCAGTATCTTTCCAGGGTTTCTACCTTTTTATATTTACTTTCAGTTCAATAATACTACACGAATATACTTTCCATGTAAGATATCAGACATTCCCTATTGACCTTTAATCCTGGTCCCCTCCAATAATAGAGAAAATAACTAAACTATTATGCTTTTTTTCCTAGCTATTTTTTTTTTAAATGCAAGTAATCTTTTTTGGGTTTTAATGTTTTGTTTTATATGTATGGCATCATACTGATGTGTGTCTTATATTGGTACTAGCTTTTCCCCCACTCAATATTATTACTTTTACCATGTTTTTTGCTGGTATGTACAAAGTTACTGTAGTTATTACCTTACTCTTTTAAAAAAATATATTTTTAAAATTGATTTTAGAGAGGTAGGGAGAAGGAGGGAGAGAAACATCAATGATGAGAATCATTGATTGGCTGCCTCCTGTACACCCCACAGTAGAATCCGCCTGCAACCTGGCCATGTGCCCTGACCAGGAATCCAACCATGACTTCCTGGTACATAGGTCGACATTCAACCATTGAGCCAATCAGTCAGGCTAGTACCTTATTCTTTTTCATGACTTCAGAGTCCTCTATAGAATGGATCTCCATAGTCACACTCTTTCCTGCTTGCCACCACCCCCCACCACACACACCTTACCTTTGCTCCTAGTTCCCCTCTTTAATGAGAACAATTGATATGTTATTTAAGTATGTTTGTAATTCTAGCTTCATAAAGTAAATTTCTCCAGAATGCTTATGCCTCATTCTAACCTCAGAAAGTATCATGGCTTTGAGGATTTCCCCAGCAGTCTATGTAGAAAGTGGGGTGCACAGCTTTGGGGATCCCTGACCTTTGCTATGTGCCCGCCCCCCGTTCCTCAGGACTGGGAATGGTACTAAAAACCTATGACTTTGTTTTTCTACCTCGGTTGTTGATGTGCTGTGTGACCTTGGGTGAGTAGCTCCCCTCTCTGATTCTTTACTTCCCCACTTATGAATGGGGGTGAGGGGTGGGTGGGTTGGAACATATACACTGTTGGGGTCTCTCTCAGCTCTGAAGTGTCCTGTTGTCCTCAGTGATACATGCAAGAGATCACCAAGGCAAGGGATGCCTGAGAAAAATGTTCCCTTTCCTTGTAGCCCCATCCATAGTCTGCCTCTCAGGGTTTGTCAGGAGAAGTGTAACCGATGCTCAGGAGGCACGCACAGGAGATACACAGGACCTGAGGCTTTAGGGACCTGCTCTCCCTCCCCCTGCAACCCCCCCTACCCCAGCCCCTGGAACATCTCATCTTCCTGAGGCCTTGAGCAGAACAGTGCTGCAGTGCTTCTTACGTATCTCATCCCCGTGACTGCTGAAGGCTAAGTTGCCATGGCAACCCAGGCCCACTGCACCACGTTATAAGCCTGTTTCTATAAAGAGGAACACTTAGCTGTCTGGAGACCCCTTCTAAAGGGGAGCAGAGAGGCAATGACTCATGGAGGAAGAGCAAACCTGTGTATTTCAGACCTTCCCGTGCGTACATGTCCCTCCCGTGGAGATGGGACCCTGAGGCATGGACTTACAGACAACCGGAAGCAAGAACTTTCCTTGTCTCATCCTCTGAGCTCTTGCTATCATGGCCTCCTCACGTCTCTCTTTAATGCCCTGGTTCCCCTCCTTCCTAATGCCTTCCTCTTTCCTCTCTTGTCCAAGTGCCTGCCTACAAGATGACCCCTGAGATAGATAACTGCAAAAGCCTCGTCCTTGACTCACCTTCCAGCCAGCCAGCCCTTCTCCGAGTGGCCAAAGGGGCCTTTAAAAAAAGTCAATCCGACCCCCTCACTCTCCACCTCACTAGGGGATGGCCAGGGACTGCGGCCACCTGCTTCTCCCCCCTCAGCCCCGCCCTTGTCCCCTTACCCTCTGCAGTCCAGCTCACTATGGGCTGCTTTTTCTTAAAGACATTCAAGCCTCACCCTCTCCTGACACCCATCACTCTCTGTGTGTCCTATTTCCCTCAGCGCATGCACCATCTGCATTCGCAATCTTTGCTTATTTACTTCTTCCACCGCCTCCCTCTCCGGAATAAAAATAGCAATAATCTGTCTCTCCTGTTCCTGGCCATTTATCTTCCACCCAAACCTGCACCTGGCCGGGCACAGGCTGTCAACCCCCTCAGCACCATAGCAGGCTCTTGGTTCTGTGTCCCCATTAAACCCTTCACTCGACTTTCATGGCATTGACTGTGTCTGTGACCACATCACTTCCGGGTAAATATTGCTCAAATGGGTCTCCTCGTGACTGCCCAGGACATGAGGCAGGGACTGGCTATATGTTCAGGAGGGCAACGCCTGTCCTATGGCAGCCAAGGAGTCATTATTTGTTTAATAAGTGATGGAAAAATTAAGACTCCCAGATGGCCAAGGTCTGGCCGCTAGTGAAAGTGGGCAGGGTGGGACCTGCGTTCCTCTCTAGCACTCAGATGGTTGAGCTGTCTGACACAGAAAGGAGGGGTGTGGGCCCCACCGGAAGAGCATGGATCTTGCTGCAGGCCCTGGTCAGGTATGGTGAGGCCTCAGGAATCTGTCGGGGGGCGGGAGGGAGAGGAGAGGGAGGAGGGTTCCTCCCAGCCTGGGACGCTCCATTTGGGCTCAGGACTCACCAGAGCTTGCTCTATAAGCAGGCAGAACAGGATGGCATTGCCCACTTCCCTCAGGCTCTGGAACACGTCTGTTTTGAGCTCTGCGTACTCAATGATGTCCTTCAACTGGTGGTGGAAGAACTCCAGGATCCCTGAGGGTGCAGGGGAGGCAGTCAACGGGGAGTTGTCACATCTCAGCCAGGTTCATGGGACCTGTCAACTGAGCAGCCTGGAGAGTCCTTCTAAAGGGAAGGACCGGACTCAGGGACAGCCAAAAGCCAACCCAGCGAGCCCTGGGACAAGGCTTCCTTTGAGATCAGGAGGCAGGTTCCAGTCTTTTATGGAGCAAAACAAAACACACACACACACACACACACACACACACACACACACACACACACACACACACTGAGCAGCCCTGGGTCTTTCCCAAGTCTCTCCAAAAACTTACCTGAATACTCAATAATAACAGGCATTACTATTTATTTAGCAGTGTGAGATGCTGTGCTAAGGGCTTTATCTGCAATCCCTCATTTGATACTCATAGCAACAACTATGAATCAGGCACTATTACTCTCATTTTCAGATGAGGCTCAGAGAGAGTAAGTGGCATGCCCAGAGTCACACAGCTGGGTACATGGGGCAGCTGAGACTGAGCACCCGAGTTTTCGGCCCCAGCCCTTTCCTGTTCTAAATCACACAGACCCAGCAGACATCTTTCTGGACACTTCAAGCCTGCAATTCAGACTCTACTCCACTGACTACGAGGGAAGGGAAGAACCATTTCTCTGCCCATGTCAAATGGCAAAAACTCCTGTTTCCAGACTCACTATAGAAATGCCACCTGGGGCCGATGGAGGATGGAATCCTAGAGATGCTAACGAAGACCTTTATGAGTAAACCTTACTCTCCCGTTTGTATCCTCGTACAGCTTCCCAGCAGGCCTGTGAGGCAGGCCCAGCCGCCATCATTTGCCTTCGCTGATGGAAGGATACTACCGCTCAGAGGGATTAAAAAATGGTTGGAGGCTAGCTGCTAGCTAGTGACAGAGGGAGGATGGAAACACAGAGCTCTGCCAGCGTATGGATATTTTAGAGAAGCAGACCATCCAAAGCAGGTGGCCAGAGTCCCTTCCCACCACTGGAGGGGTTTGGATTATTTTCCTCTCACCACCCCTGTCCCCGTTCCCCATCACCCACCTGGGGAGCCATACTCATGCCGGGGCAAGCGGCATATCTTGGGCATCACTTCGATCAGTGTTTTCACATACTGGAGAATGGTCCCCTGGAGCTGAGAAAACAAGAGTGAAAATGAAATAATCCATCGTTGCTGCTCAGGTGCATCTCTAGGCTGAACGCTGGCTACAGGGGTGCACAGAGGTTCTGCTGAAACCAGTGGCTAAGCGCGATGCTGAATGTGTCCCTAAATTCATGTGTTGAAATCCTAATTCCCAATGTGATGGTATTTGGAGAAGAGGCCTTCCAGAGGTTATTAATCATGAGGGTGGGGCTCTCACAATGGGATTAGTGCCCTTATAAGAGACAGGCGAGAGATGATGTCTCTCTGTCTTGTGAGGAGGCAATGAACTAGGAGAAAGGGTCTCACCAGAATCTGATTATGCTTGCCCCGATCTTGGATCTCCAGCCTCCAGAACTGTGAGAAATAAGCATGCTGTTTAAGCCACCTGTCTGTGGTGTGTTTGTTACAGCAGCTCGAGCTAACTGAGACAGTAAGGCTCTGTTCCCTGATAAGACAGGGCAGGTTCTCCCCTAATGATGGGTGGCAGCCCCAGTGCTCTTTCTAAGGGAAGATGGGCCTTTATAAGACAGAAGCGGGAGCTTTTTCATTAGCCCCTGGGCTTATAGACTTCAAGGAGGAAAGTTTCTAAGCATACTGTCCTTCCTGGGGTAGAGGGCTTACATGGGACCCAGACTAAGAGCTGTGGAGACTAAGACAGTCTCTTCTTCAAGCAGGGAAAACCCATAGTACATTTATCCCCCATGTCCAAGGCAGACTTCTTTAATCAAGTGACATTTTCTGGATTGAGCATCACAGTTCATAATCCATGGGTCCACACAGCTGCTACCAGAGAACTGGGAGCTCGCCAGTCAATCCTTCTTGCCATGCCTGACATGATTATATGTTACTTTTTTTATTTCTCTTTCATCAGTTCAAATTTTCAGGAAAATCTTGTTTCCTGAACACTTGCTTTAACAGTGTTGTGGGGAATTAAATGAAAGTTCAGATGACCATACGTGGGGCAGAGACAGAATAGTGATAAAGGGATTGGCTTGAGGCCAGTGCAGTATTAGTAGCAGAATTGAGCAAGAAATCCCAAGGGGGAAGAGGCACGGAGATTGATTAGAGATGTCTGCCAGGGCCATGGGAGGCGAAATTGGTAGCATCCGTGCCATCGGTATACCATGCAGAAATTAGACAACATGGCACAGAAGGGGACTACGAGCAACCATTACTAGACCCTGAAGGTCAAGGTCAGGATTGCTGAGTTCAGTCATGAAGCACAGGGAATAAGCTCAGGGTCAGACAATGAAAGGCATAGGCACACGTCAGAAAGATCACAGAAATGTAACAGAGCAACAGGTAAGAGGAACCAAGGGATAAGGGGAAAGAAAGGTCTCTACCTACAGACACAGCTGAAGTGTGTTGATTTCAGAGCCGGGTAAAAAGTGACCGCAGACCTTGTTCCTATCAACCCCGCTGGGGCACATCCCAGGCCTCATGTGGCCCGTCCTTACCAAGCTCTTGACGATCTTCAGCAGCTCCTCCATGACCACGGCGATGCCCTGGTAGCCCAGGAGTCTGCAGATGGTCTTGAAATGAGGGGGCCCCACAAAGTTCCTGTAGGAGCTGTAGATGTGGCTGTAGGCGATGTTGAGAGGCTGGAGAAGAGAGGACATGCAAGATAAGCAGCTGAGCATGGGATGGACGCCGGCCTGGGTCCTCTCCAGGTGGGAGAAATAGCGATGACAGAAAGGATGAAACTGGACGTCACCCGGTGCTCTCACTGGGCGCCCCGGGAAATATTTTGCAAGATACTGGCCATGGAGAGAGGTGTGGTCAGTGCCCACAGGATGGAGCAAAGCCACTAGATGGAGCAGGGGTTCCCAAGGAAAAGAGGAGAAGGAACTTCCAGGCGAGTATCTTTTTTTACAAGACTCTTGCTACTCCAAGTGTCCACACACACACACACACACACACACACCCCTGAAGTTTTCAAACTAAGCTAGGGGGTTGGGGTAAAAAGGACAATTTTCTTTTTCTAGAGAGATTTTTGGTACTAGAAACTGGCTGGAAGAACCCTGTGAAAACACAATAGCAGGTTAACACTGGCTTCTTTCTTCTACTTTAGTTGTCTCCACAGGGTGGGGTCTTGGGAAGGAACAGGCCTGGGCATCAGGAGACCTCTGCTTTGTGCTTGGGAAAATCAGGTTCCTCATCTAGGAAATGAGGGGGCTGGACCAAACCAGGCCTTTCCTAATGTTCTGAGTAGCTGGCCAAAGGGAAGATGCCACAGGAACTAATATGTGAAACAGACAAAAGCAGAGCTGCTCTGTTTGGGTGTTGGTGGGGGCCTTTGGGCCCCGGCCACTGACTGGCCACCTCCATATCCTCAGAACCCCCACGGCACCTTTGGTGAATAGGGGGATCTCTTTGAGATCTCTGTCTGAGAATATGACCAAAATATAGGTCCCTCAATTGCTGCCCTGTGGCTACCAGAGTTGTCACTGACTTGGTTTTGAAATGCTGCCACTTACAGAGCACCCCATGCCAGGCTCCGTGAAGCCTTCCCTGTGCCACCTCATTTAACCTATACAACAAACACGTGGATATGGCCAATCCTTAGTCCCACTTCACAGACAAGGGAACTGAGACTCAGGGTGGGTAAATAGCTTGCCCAAGGTCACACAGGTCACAAGTAACTGAGCCCTGATCTGTACCCAGGTAGGTCAGATTCCAAAGCCCACATTCCTAATCTCTGCTTACAATGGCGGACCTTGGGACTGAATTCTATTATAAACCAAACCCATTTTTTAGATAAGGCCTCACCCCAAAGCTTAGTTCTGAGGGTAGTTTTCCTACCCAGAATTATAAAAATCTTGAGTAATCCTACATGAATGAACCAGGAACTATTAATGATGCGTTTGGAGGACTGTAAGGGTCTCCACTCCCTCCAGAGCCATGGCGGGAAGATTTAATTATGTCAGTCTAGGTTTTGGGTTAAGTATGTCTTAGTGTAGATGAATTCTTCTGAGTTTTACAAACTAAGCATCACGATCATCGTGCCCTCTACTATCAAGGACACGCGAACACACCTCGGAAACCCACTGGCAGTGAGGATTCATGAGAAGCAGAACACCCACGCACCCAGCAGGTTGAATGACAGTTCTTCGGGAAGGTAATGCCTGCTTGTGGGAGGCTCAGAAAGTGACAGAGAGCAGCTCTCCACTCCATTCAGATGTGCTGTCACAGGAAACTCTGCCCGGACCTGGCAGGTGGATAGCTTGTATGTAGTTCCTAAGGATTTCTAAGTGTTGCGGGGCAGGAATGGAGTATGCAGGGCGGGAACTATAACTGACGTAAAGCATGATGTTCACTAAAGCTGATGGTCAGCAAATCCTGGAAGTGTATGAGTTGTTGAGTTTGATTTAGCTAATTATAGGGGCCTGGTCATATCGTTTTCTATGTGAGTTAAACAGGACATGTAGTCTAACAGAGCTGGGTGGAGGGTGGGGTGAGTGAGGCACTAGAGCACAAAATGTTAGGAAGGGCGCTCTCTCTCTCTCTCTCTTTCTCTCTCTCTCTCTCTCTCTCTCTCTCTCTCTCTCTCTCTCTCTCTCTCTTTCCCAGTTCTGGCTCTGTTCTTAGAGTCTCATTCTGTATTCTCCTGCTTCCATGGCTAGGGTTGAGGAGTATATAGCAAACACCCAAACCAACCATGGCTTACCTCTGATAGGGGAAGAATACTGACTAGAAAGGGGCATGGGAGAACCTTCTAAGCGATGGAAATGCCCTACATGTTGCTTTGGTTGTTGACTACACAGATGTATATACATTTGTCAAAACTCATGAAACTACATGTACCCTTAATGATTGTGCACTTATGGACGAGTGGTTAAATTTCCCCCAACTTCTTATGTTGAAATCCTAACCTTTATGTGTGGGACTTTTGGGAGGTCATTAAGTCATGAGGGTAGAGCCTTCATGAATGGGATTAGTGCCCTTGTAAGAAAGATGCCAGAGCTTCCCCCGATGTGGGATACAATGAGAACAAGGCCATCTGCAAACCAGGAAGCTGGCTTTCACCAGACACCAGATCCACTGGCACCTTGATCTTGGGCTTCCCAGCATTGAGGTAATAAAGAAATTTTAAGCCACCCAGTTGATGGTAATCTTGTTATAGCAGCCAGAACTAAGTGGATTTTACTACATATGATTATGTGTCCATATAAAAGCAAATTAAAAAACCCACTGGACTATATCATAGCCTTTACTTCCCAACATTTGTTTTCAAAGATTTACTTCCCAACATTTGTTTTCAAAGATTAAAAAACAACAACCTTAATTAAATTTCCTCTGGAAGAGGGCTGCAATTCGAGCTTCACAGGCATGAGGGAATGGTGACCTGGCTCTGCTCATGCCCCTAAGGGGCACTTGACACGGTGCATGGGCTGCTGTAGCTCCCTTTCATTCTCCACACACACCACGCACTCTGGGCCTCGCCTCTGAACCCAGTCAAGCTCTGGGCACTTTTCCTTCATCCCCTTTCAAATCCTATATAATAAAAGTGTAATATGCAAATCAACCGAACAATGGAACGACGGGTCACTATGACGTGCATTGACCACCAAGGGGCAGACGCTCAATGCAGGAGCTTCCCTCTGATGGTCAGTGTACTCCCACAGGGGAGTGCTGCTCAGCCAGAAGCTGCAGTGGTGGGAGCCTCTCCTGCCTCTGAGGCAGGTGGACATCTCCCCCACTCCTCCCCCGCAGTGCTCCTGGACTGTGAGAGGGCACAGGCTGTGCTGAGGTATTCCCCCACCCCCCTCAGTGCATGAATTTCATGTGCTGGGCCTCTAAATGACTTATAAAAGGCATTTCTGAGCAGCAGGGTGATTTCCAATGGCTATCCCTGAAGGAGACAAAAAAACAATCAGTTACTTTATTTCTTCTATCTGATTCTATGACTTTTTTTTTTTTTTTTTTTGTCTGAGTCTATAGGCATGGGCACAAATGAGTTCAAATCCCAGGTCCATAAATTTACTTACTAGCTAGATGATCTTGAGCAAATTACTTAACCTCCTTAGCTTTGGTTTTCCCTAAGTAAAGATAATGCCACTTCCAATAGGGCTCTTGGGAGGCTTAAATGAGATAACAGATAGAAAACACTGAGCCCAGTGCCTGACACTCTGCAAGCACTCATTGCAATAGCAGCTATTCCTAATGCTTTGTTTGATAATTTGGTAAGTAAACCAGGGAAATACAGCATCTTAGTCAAAATTCCCCCTCCCCAGCAGTCATGCTGCTCTGAATGTGCGTACATGGTTACAAGTCTACACCACACAGTGGTTGTCCCACAGAGGACCCAGCTTGGAACCAGCTGCTGAAATGCACCCCAAAGTGCAGATTTGGCTTAATATTTACAACATTATAAAGGTGAGAGCTATGCAACAACAGACAGCACTGGGTAGGAGCTCTCGCTGCTGCAATGTTTGGGTGGAGGCTGAGAAACATGGCTCAGGTTGCTGGAAGGGAACCTGCCTGGGATTGAGCACTGGGAGGGATGGGATTAACGCTCCCTTCAGAGGTGCAAGCTCCAGCGACGTCTTCCTGGATGTGCTCATCCTCCCTGGCAGTCTTCTTAACCCCACCCAGGAAGCTTCCAGTACCAAGTCTTCTTTGGCACTTGCTGGCAAGCACACACACACACACACACACAAAATATATATATGTAGGGTTCAACAGCCCTCCCCAGTTTGAGACAGAAGAGAACATTTTGGAATTGCTTTACCACACACAAGGGTTTTTAAAAGTCCCCCTTATAGGGCCTGCTCAATGCACACAGGCAGCCTCTTGTTCTTACATCGGTCTCGTATTTTGGTCAAGACCAGAAGTTTAAGCTTCGGCTGATAACTCCGGCTCAGGAAGGACCAGCATGAATTGAGCAGTATTTAAATCCAAGTGAACAAGCACCCCTCACCCCCCAAATACACACCATGTCCATGCAAGAAGACGCACACACATACATGCCAAAAAGCACATGCACACACACCCCTGGAGGGCACCCCTCTGACCTGCTGGCTCAGCAGAAGGCTGGGCCCTATTGAGAAAATGTGGGAATATGGGAGCCTGGGCATTTTCTGAGGTTGGCAAAGAAAAACAGAATGCAACATGGCTTGAGACATTGAAAACGGCTCCAAATCTCTTATACTGAGCCAGTCCTGCTAACTGACTCCAGTTACAACCCAAGGTCTACCTTAGAAATGAATTATGATTCAGGATGGCTCACTTTTTAATATCAAGCTAAACAAGCTTGCACCATCCACATGGCACAAAACAATTTTATGAGATCGTAAGAGATAAATTATCTTGATTCAGGAACCAGAGCCATCTTATGAATATGTGACATGGATGTGCATTGTTTTAAAAAGGCAAAACAACCAAAACTGGTTTGGCTCAGTGGTTAGAGCGTCGGCCTCCAGACTGAAAGGTCCCAGGTTCGATTCTGGTCAAGGGCATGTACCTTGGTTTCGGGCACATCCCCAGTAGGGGGTGTGTAAGAGGCAGCTGATCGATGATTCTCTCTCATCGATGTTTCTAACTCTCTATTCCTCTCTTTTCTTCTCTGTAAAAAAATCAATAAAATATATTTTAAAAAAAT